AATTAATAGTGTTCTGTAACAACTTTGGATTAAAAAAAAATTATAAGTTATAAATTAAAATTTTGCTTATGAGTAATCACTTATAACGGGTATTTCTAAATTAAACCGTATAATGAATGTCTATTTCAAGTACTTAAAAATATAGGTTATAATTATAAAATTACCCTACGATCAGGGAGCAGAAAAACGACGACGACGAGCGGCGTTTGTATATTATTTGATCTCTCGTATATTATGCATTTGCTCTCAGAAATAAAATAATATGTGTCGTACTAAATCGCCTCAGAATAGGCCATACGCATCACACACGTAGCCACCTCATGAAAAAAGAGCCACCAAAAATATGCCTTACATACAGAATTACAACTACAATCAAACATATTATCACCGAATGCAGAGACACAAAAGAGGCACGACAAAAATTCAACATACCGGAACACCTTCACGACGCTCTGGGCCCTGACGAAAAATCCATCCAAAGTATAATTTTATTTTTGAAAGATACTGAACTGTACAATCTAATTTAAGTTATCATTATATGTAAAAACAAGCCAATGATGGTCACGTTATCGAGGCTTTACTTCTTAATTAAAAAAAAAAAAAAAATATGCCCCTACTTTACCCGAGTAGCAAATTGTCTGTGACAATAAATTTTAATTTTGAGAATAAAAAGTAAAATATGTAAGCCCCAAAAGAATAAGTAATCAAACTTACGTATACATCGACTCTTCGGGTAATACATAGGATATATCTATATATATATATATTATATATCTTGAGTGCAGACGCCATACCGAGGAACTTCTTTCTTCATCTAAAACCGAACTGAAAAATCGAGATTTTGTATAAAAATTACTTGAGTAAAATGAAATATCTGAGCAAATGTTTATTGTTGCCTTACAGATTTCTCTTTTGTTCAATGAAATTATTAGAATTGTGAATCGTCTCCGACGAGTGACGACGATCGGCTTTTGCCATAGATGATAGATATTATAATATAATATGTTGTTATCAGTTTACGAGTTTTTGAATTCTTTGGATGACACGATACATTTTTTATTTCAGATTCCGAAACATAATAATATTATTCGGAGTGTATACAATTAATATTAAAATCTATACAATTCAGAACACGGAAGTCTGCGTATAGGCCATTTAAATACACTACAGTCGCGAGTCCATTTTTTTGTCCGGCATCTCACAATATTGTTTTTAGTCTTAACGGTTAAACTATAACTTAATATAAAACTTTAGAAGTGTCGAGACATGAAAAAAATTCAAAATTAGGCTTTGAAATTTACAGAAGTAATAAAAAAATGGATACTTTAGTCGTGCATATAATATTCTCTCTGGGATCGGCATTAATATGTTATCAAACAATATTATTCTATTATAGTGTGCAGTATTTGCTAAACAATTGTGTGATTATATTATACTACTACTGCACTATAGTGTAATAAATAATGTAATGTATATACAGCCGTGTTAACCTAACTAAGGCTCTCACATAAAGGTAAGTGACGGGGGAAAAAACCTTATGACCAAGGTTCGGGACTTATAGCTTTTGCATACTTTTTTTATTTATTGTAAAATGTAGCAGAGTGCAAAATAAATTCATACCAAATCTAAAATTTGAATGTGCATATTTTGCATAGTTCATACATTTTGCCGGAAACCGCTTATTTTTACGTTATTGTGCTTAATTTGCATATTTTCGAAATTTCAACTTCACAAATTTTACCCCATCTAAAAAAGAAAATAGTAATGCAGCTTACTCGCAGTCGTATGTACCTATTTGCTATATACAACTCACAACTCCTTATAATTTTCGTGGTTTGAAAGTGTGCCATCCGCCGTTGAAAAACGACTGTGTTTCAATTGTGCTACGTCGAAAACTATACCAAGTCCAACAATAATTTTAAAATCATCATTCAGCAATCTCAATGATATGGAGTTTAGTTTGAAAGAATACAGTGAAGTAAAAAAACTAAATGCACAGAACTTAACTGTTTGGGATTTTTAAATGTAACGAGAATTCTAGAAAATCATTTATTTATTGAAACAGATTAAATTACTGAATATCAAGAGTACTCATTGGCTGACTTGCAGTGTAGTCTGGCAATTGACAATAACAGGTATTGTATATAATTATTTGAAAATAATATATTATTTAATAAATCGTTTTAAATAATTTTTAGATATATATTATCCGGAGCAGTTTCTTATGGATATGATCATTTTGTAACGTATGTAAGCCATGTAAATAGATGGGAAGTGCACAAAGATTTGGCAAAAAAAATTAAAAGTACCCCTAGTTCAACAAAAATAAAACCACATGTAATTTTATATGTGAAAGAGTAAAAAAAAAGACATGTACATTGGTACAAAAGTCAACTATAGCAATAAGAGATGTCTTTTTTTTAATTAAACAAAAAGACAAAAAGGTTATATTTTATTATTTTTAAATTTATATTAAGCGTTTGTTACAAGATAAATAAAAGTAATAAGAATCAATAATTAATTAAATCAATTTTATTTTTTTCAATTTTCCTTTTACCAATAATTATATTATAGTGACATACTGACATGACTCCAGGATCCGGTACCAAAATGAGAAGAAGTCCGCAAAGGATTGAAACAGTCTGGTGGCGAAAAATGTTTTTGATGTATCGACCTGACGTTTTATAACAAATGACGAGAACCATGAACCACGATTTCTAACTTTAATAATTCAAAATTAATAGAGTAAATTTAAAATGAATGAAATTTGAAGATCTGAAAAACATAATCTATTTATTAGCAAAACAAAATAAAAATTGTTATTAATTAATGTGAGCTCTTATTTGATGGCCATGAGCTTATAATATTCAATAACCCATGCTATGTTTCTACAAATATAGAGTAAAAATAATTAATAGCCCGATATATTATGTAAAATATTTCTGTAAGTAGTATATTTAAATTGTGTATTACATAATATAATTTTAAACTATACTATAAACTGTACCTACGTATAAACAACAATGATTGCTATGATTTTTGGACTCGAAATTAAAATTAGTTAGGGGCTATTGGCAAAATGTTAGCAGCATATTTTAATTCGTAGCTCAAAAGGGGGTGTAGCATGAAGTTGGCCCCCTGTCTTATTTTTTTATTCCTGGCAGGGAACTTATTTGCAAATTCTGAAAACCAATTTGCAAAATGATAGCATAACTTTCAAAAAAAATTGGTCATGGTTGGGGGGCCAACTTCACGCACATAACAAAATAAATGTTTTACATAATTGTTTTATAAAAATAAATATAGTTAGATGGTTTTTTGGGTTGCGGTGGTGTAGCACAGAATATAATACACAAAAAAAAAGTAATGATATCATATTTTAAGTTATGAAAAAAAAACAAAATACCTGTCTACCTATTTTATGCTATATAGCGTTTATAATGTTCAGTGTTCACTGTTCACATTGTATTCATTGTAGCCCTGAAACGACGGAACTAACTATATATACTATATATATAATATATATGTACCTCTATAAAATCAATAAAAAGACCACAAAAGTTATTAATTATTTTACGGTCTAAATTATTTTAAATTCTAAACAGAGCGAACAACCTATTGATTTTCCGGTAATGTGTTTTGGTTTTTTTGTATATACCTATAAGCTATTATAATAGTATAAGCATTAGGTTTTGAGTTGCGGTAACAAAATTACCTACCTACTAATGTTTTTTTTTCTGTTTATTAGAATGTATACAATATTGGGTTTACAATAACTAGGTAGTTGAATTTAAATGCGAAGGAAATGTAACTATTTATACCTACATAATAATCTCGAAATTCTTGAGTAACTATTTCACGTACACTATATAAGTCGTAAAACAATATACCTATTATACATTATATACTACATTATATACCTATAAATAAACTCCAATCAGAACAATTTATCCAGTAACATGATTTATTCATACTATATTTAATTAAAAATAATAATAAACCATGGTTTGTACACGCACGCCCTGAGCCAAATCATCAAAATCTCGAAAATGTTGACAGTTATTTTTAGTAAAAAATGTATAAAATCTTAATTTTTTATAGCTGAGGATTAAACATTTAAACAATATTTCACTTAAGTAGTTCATAGTGGAACCAAAAAATATACTAACACAATTATGTTTATAAATATTTGAAGTTTAAATTTGAACGAAATTAGTTTTCGTACATCATGGTTTTAAATTATTGAATTAATATTTAACACAACTATTACAGTAACCTCTCTAGACACCTACTGTAGGCCCCTTCTAGCGGTACCCATTTACCCACCTTTTTATGTTATGATATAATGTACCATTATGTTAGCTTTCGGTAAAAACATAATCCTCGACGTCAAAAAAGTAAATAGTAATTGATGATTGGATGAACTATCAAAATCAAGGTTTTTCCAAATTACTTCTTAAGTATCCTTGAAATGTAAATTTTTTAAAATCCCTGCTTGTTGCACATTTATAGGTATAACATTAGAGGAACCACTATTTCAAAATTCAAGTTCTTAGGTTTTGTCATTTTTAAGAAATAACGACGAGTGCACTGGCCCCATTTGCCCCTCCCCTTTATATACTCCTTGTATTTCTGTAAAAGATATTTAGTAGAATTTTTTATGATATTCATTATGGCCCTAATATGTATCAGGTGTCAAAATATAAAATATCTAGATAGATCGATACATTAACCTATGCATTTTAAATAAAACTTGTTTTAATTTATGTTGTAATAAAAATGTACCATTTTTTTTTTAGAAAAAGTCAAAAGGATGCACCTACCCATATAATATATATATATATATATATATATATAGCCATTTTATTATTTTCCGTTTATTATTATTTATTATATTCTCTTTATCTAAACAATGAACATTTCACAATTTATAGATATATTTATTTACAACTTGAAAATCAAAATAGAATATTAGTTTATTACCTACATTCACTTTATTTAGCAACAACACACATTTTACAGGTATTAGTTATTATTTATTAAGTACCTTTGTATCACAAAAGTAACAACTTATATTTAATAAATAAAATTATTTACAATTTCTGTAATACCTGTAAATAAAAAAATTGTATTCAACAAACATATTCATAAACTTATATCACAGATTTTAGAAATAAAGATCAAATGTTTTAACATTTTATATTTGTTTGTTCTCTACGCTTGTAATTGTCGTCTTCTATCACACACAAGTTGAAGAATATAAAATTTATGCATTGGTGGTTTGTAATAGGTTAATATATAATATTATAAATTATAATATACACTAGCTTGAACACTAATTATAATTTATAATAATACTGCTATTGTAGATGTCCCACGATGTTCTTCAAAATGTTGTTAGTGGTCTTGTGGACGCAGAGTAACAAAATTAATACATTCCTCGCTTCGCTTAGAGCTTTTAATGTCTTGATTTCCATTTTTTAAGAAGTAGGTAAAAATATTTTCAAACCGTGTACTCTTATTTATTTTTTAAAACTATGGGCCTCCAGCCTAACTCACCGGCTAGTGTCTATACCACTGCAATTTATAAGTACATCTTATATTCCACAGTCCACGCCATTAACAAAAAAAAAAATATATATTTATATCATGAAGCACCTTGTAAATATACAATAAATCTAATATCACAATATTAATGTATATTAAAAATTAAGTAAAAATTATTAAATTATTGTAAGATTTTTTTTTAGTATGAATTATTTGGCGTAGATGGTATCAATAATGTTTTGTTTACAGGAGTTCCGATATTACTATATTCATCATCAACCTGTGAACAAAATAAAATATAAAATATTTAACAGATAGTTGGAAATTTTGAATTACCTAAATACGCTACGAAGGTATAGGTGGTAAAACAAAACATGAATTAATGAAATACTTGAACATATAACTTTTAAAAAAACAACTGTGATCAATACTTACTTATTTTTAATATTTTAATTTTTAATAGGTACGTATTTTTTCGCCGTCGAAAAAATATTTAACTCTTAATTCTTATACTTTATTTACATACGACATACATAAATAAATAAACAATACTTGATAAATCCTAAATAACTCTTTAAATATCTATGTTCCACAATATAATAATATGATAATAATATACATAAATACATTGTTATCTTATTGTTATTAGCCAAATAGAAACTATTTAGTCTTACCATCTGTGAATACGTTTGAATCTCATGACAATCGCAAATAAGTTGTATTGAGCACTTTAATTTTGCATCGATATTTTGTCCCGTGATTGGTACAATCAAATTAAATTTAATCATTGGATTGTTTATTGAATCCACGGTATTCACTAATCCCGCAGCTACAACTGGAGACGATTTTCCCGTTACCAAGTGTACGTTGATAAATAAGCCATGCTGTAATGACAACATTTTTAAGGGATATTTTTTTTCATTTATTTTTAAGAAAATATATTACCTTTGCAACAAAATGTAAAAGTTCTGAGCTACTATTACTACGGTAGAAACAACTGCAGTTGAAATCAGCAGACCATGCTAGACGACTAGGTGAATAAGCTACATCTTCCTGGTCTTTAAAACCCCACGTGAGAAAAATATTTGGTTCCGACTGTAGCGACCTTATGAATTAACATATTATATACATAAATAATATAAGTTTATTTTAGAATAAAATGAACGCTACAAATATTTATTACAAAGTATTTATGAAAATCAAAACACGTACTTTAAATGTTGTATACTTTCTGTTGAGAAGTTTAGACTATTAATATTGATTTCTAGTTGTGCTGAATTTTCTCGAATTATAGTAGTGTTCTAAAATGTTTAAAAATTATTTTTTTTATATTTTGATATTTAAGTTATAAATATAAATTAATTAATGAATATACCTAACTATATATTATAATTAAATTGGTAAGTTGTTTATTATTTTAGTGAAATTATAAAATACATAAGTGACGTATTAGGCAACTATTAATCGTTGGTTAGTTATACATTTTAAAATAATAAAGTTGCTTGGCCCGACGAGATTTCTACGCAACCCCTACAATAGAGAATGGCCATAGTTGCCGGATACTCAAGACAAATAAAAAAATAATAATAATAAATTATATTATATTTTCATCAGTTACCTATAATGGCAAAACAGTAGGTATTACAATTAAAACAAATTACATATTTACATTATATTTGTGAATTATTGCTTATATAAATCAACCAAATCCGCTTTTATATACGAGTGTCGTTCAGTAATTCTTAGGAGAAGGAGTAAGATTCATTTGTTTTAAATTACAGGTATATTTTAAATAGCTGATGCTAAAAATAGGTCGATGATTAATCTATTGTTTTCACTGTTAACCTTATAAATTATATAAAATATATTTTTTAAATCACTATGAAATAAATTAAAAATGTAATACTTTATCTGTTTACCAAGCTTTAAAGTCAAAATGAGAAGAAAAAAAATGATTTATAAAAAAAATAAATGATTAAGGAAATAATACCTAGTCATAATACCTAGACCTTTTATTATTTATCGTATTACAAATCAACCATCTCGCTATGCAAGGAAAACTATATAAAATAACAATACTTTTATTCACATACCTCACTTTTAGCTATGGTATCTGTAATTAAATTAACTATTGGTTTTTTGGTCCACTGTTCTTGATTTAGGATTGTTTGTCTTTTAACCATCCGATCTCTGAACATAACCAACACTTCTAGGATTTCATTTACTAGTTCTTCGAACTCCTTGTTTTCAACATTAATTTCGTTACTTTTCTTAATAGAACAAACTGCTTTTTCTACTATTTCTAAAGTGGCCACAAGGGGTTCAGATAGATCTAATGTTGTAATATCCTTAAATAGGTCCATACATATTTGAATAAACTGTACTGCCGTTTTTATATCACGTTCAGCTTGATCTACCTAAAATATTAAACACCGTTAATAAATACCATATATTTAAATAATTTCCAATCAGTACCTAATAACGTAGTCAATTAAAAGAACACTTTTACCTTATCTTTTAGCATTGTGTTTAAATAAGACTGAGAGTTCAACGTTTGATTAATTTTTAATTGTTCTTGTTGAAGCTCTTGAATTTGACTTTTTAGCCTACGGAAAAATATTACTACCAATTAACTATTGTTATTTTTATTTAAAGATACTCTCGGCAACAGTGACAATTTACTATTGAGATTGAGATTGATTCACAGATATGTATTTACATAATTATATATGACTATATAAGTGAGGTATGCTGTTACATAATACGCCGTTAACAAATAGGTACATAATATAATACATGATATAAATGTATCAAATATTACCATGTGCATTATAATTATAACTTTCATCAACTTAAATTTACCTTTTTTCTTCTGACTCCAAATTTTGATGTATTGTGATCACTTCACTTTCATTTTCTTTTGAAATGGCACTATTTGTCTATTGAATAAATAATAACGTCAGGTAAAATAAAATAATTTGTCTAGAAAGTAGAAATTAAAAAATATCTAGGTATAGTTGTACTACATATTCACCTCAAGTTTTTTTTTTAAGTTGTCATTCTCTTGCAGAATATTATCAATTTCTTTATGTCTATTTGTAATTTCATTCTCTTTTATTTCTAATATTTTAGATAGTTCCAAGTGTTGATTCTGTAATAAAATGTATAGGTAATATCATATTTAAAGCTTATTTTCTATTTAATTAAACCTTCAAGCATTTATTCTCATCTGCGTAATTAGACAGCTTTACTTCATTTTCATGTATTGTCCCTTTTAAATCTGCGATGTATTTACTATTTTCTTCCATTTGTTTTAAAAGTCCAGTTCGAGTGTCGGAAAAATTTTCCTCCAATTCTTTTAACTAAAATTAACATAAATAATTATTATTTATAAGTGTACCTATTTAATTATTTATCAATTTATATTTGTTTTATTATACATTCGTTTGCTTATTATTCAATATTATACAGCTTCTATATAAATATTTGTAAAAAAAAAATAGTTATTATATTTGTACGAAAGCTGTGGTTGTTCCGGAACAACAGACAGTGAGACAATAAAAGTCTGCAATTTATAATTTTCATATTTTCTTCTTTTGTATTCAACTTTCTTAAAAATTGTTATGTTAAAAATATTTTGAAACTCCTTTGTTTATGTGAGTAAATTTTTCAACTTAATGTATCACCGTAAATTGCAATAAGATGCTTAAAAAATTGTATTAGCATTGAATTCAGAGCATATGAATATACCCCCAAAATAGGTATGCAATTATTAAATGAAATTAATTTTTTATAACTAAACAAATAACTTTATTACAATATTGTCCATCACTGGTACAGTGTATAAATAAAAACGAGATGATTTTTATGTTCATAATATTAGACAAGACACTTAGTAATAGGAACCAAGTACAGTTCAACATATTTTATTGAAGTAAAATAATATATTTTACTTTACTGATGACCTGGCGGTGCAATACATGGAGAAATTTATGAAACGAGACTGCTCGGACTTCAGTACGCGTAAGGTATGTGTTTATGTCTGAAGGATTATTACTATATATGTTGTAAATTAATCGAAAATAGTTATACACTTATACCTATATTGTAGCGGTCTACCGGCAGGACTCCGTTATAATACTGAGCGAATAGAATAAGATGACATAGGTACCCTATACGTGTCCGAGATGCACATTTTAATAATAAAATATAAATACTGTAATGATAGGTACCTATTTCACACAATTACACTGGCTTAAATATTAGTTATAACTTATAAGCTCTTATAACTCTTAAGCTGTTTTGAGACAACATTTTTACATTAATTTTTTAAAGAATTAACCTTTAGTCCGTTATTTTGATGCTGTGGCTTGGAAGTAAGTTGTAGCAGTTTCTGGTTGTGTTCTCTGAGTGATAGCTTTTCTCTCTAATTAAATTGTAATCATTATATTAATAATATTAACTCATGACCATCAATATACGTAATAATTATATACTAAACAATTTATGATTGAAATTACTTGTAAGTCACGAATTTGTTCTTCTAATACTTTATTAGTCTCTTTATAAGCATTATATTTTGGCTTTAGTTCACTTAAAGCATGTCTTTCATTAATCAATATTTCTTTCAATTTGTCTAAATGTACAAATTTAAAATAAAATAAAAATATATCCAACTATAACTAAGTTGTAAATTATAACCATACCATGTTCATCACGTTCTTTATCCAACAATTCATTAATATCCATTATATTTTGTTCAAAAGCTTTACACTGAGCTTGTATAGTTTCCATTTGAATCTCCATACTTTTGATAACTCTGTGAGATTGTATTAGTTCAATATTCCCTTTAAATTTACTTTTATTTTCTACTAAGCTACTTTCACTATCAAATGATTCTGTGCTTTCAAATTTCTAAAATACACACATAATAAATATAAATACATATAATGTATATATACCTACTTAATATATTAGTTTTTTAGTTATTATTTCCAATGAAAAAATACACACTCTTTCGGGAAGTTTAATAGTCTTTTCATTTTCATCAAAACCTACTCTAGACAATCTTGAAATTTTTTGTAATTTTATTGGTGTTGACCTATACAAGTTAACTGAATATTTATCACATTTAAATGTAGTAATTAATTATATTAAAACTTATACAAACCTTTGTGAATGTCTTGATAAAGGTTTTTCTGGTCTTTGATGAATATTATTGTATAAATTAGATGATGTTTTCAGTTGAAATTTCAATACTTTAATCTATAAAGACAGTATTTATTGAAACATTGAATTTTTAATGCATAAATTATCAGGGCATGGGGTACTTAGGCATCAATATAAAGGTAATGAACTGCTGCATATGATAGTTTTATGTAAATGTAGTAAATTTACACATACCTTTGAAACAAGGCGGGCGTTTTGTTTTTCTAGTTCCTCGATTTTATCATGACATTGTCCAATTGTCTTGTATGATAAATGTTTTGAATGTACAGGACATGATTTATTGTGCACGAGACTCTTATTAGAACAACTGCTTGGCCGATCTGTCAAAGAACCCTTACTTGGATGCGACGAAGACATTATATTTGATCTACTTGGTGATACGTTAGTAGTCATTTTTTGTTGGAAATTTTAATTTACCGTATCTGCATAACTATGTAAGAAATTACATTAAACGTTTAATATGAAGGTATACAATACCGGTTTTAAACCATTTCAATAATTTTTTACAACTACCGCAATTTTATTTATTTTATTTTATTGTACGAACATGCGGGTAATTTAGTATTTAATCAGTATAAAATACTAAATCATCTAAATCACTAACATCATAAACACACAGAGCATAACAATCATAACCAAAACACAAAAGTAAACGATGCTCATATGTTATTGGGTGGTATTGTTGTACTGTTTGTTGCCATGGTGTCGTAACACCGCAGCTATTATACAACACCTATTCATCACCTTAGCTGTTAATACATTATTGAAATTAGAAAACATTCAATTTGATTGATGGATACTTCCAGCTAGCAGCTACGGGATAACTTTGAAACTATTCGATACACATGAACATAAAATAATTTCAACGTTTTCTTATTTCAAATAACATTATAACCAACTCTGTAATAAGTATATAGTTGATGGGCAAAATATATTTAGCATAGAACTATACAAACGTATTAAATGCAATGGCCTACCGATAAGTATATAGATCGAATTACTATAAATAATTAATACCTCCGCCTAGGACGGCTCCGGGGATATGGTTGGGGCTGGGCCGCTGGGGACTACATCATAATTTTCAGAAAACTTTCGAAGATACGTTTTTTTTTAAATTTTGAATTGAACAATATAGGTACAATATTTTATAAATACGGGTTTGAAAGGGGACCAGAGTTAGTTTTTTTTATTGAAATTATAAAAACTGTTGTTTTAGATAACTTTGTCTAACTAAATTTTAAGCAACTGATAAGTGAAAATACTCCAGGATTTTTCAGTAATTAAAAATTTAGAAATGTAGGTAATCATTTTTAAGGGCGTCACCCTTCGCCGTATAAATTTACAAAATACACGTAGGATAAAACAGTACACATATTTTAAAATACTGGATCTACCCTTACAGCACACAAATTTAATCGAATAGTGTTCACATAACCAAAAAAGCCATAACCCGAAATTGAATACTCGAAGAAATTATTTAAAACTGCTTTTATGCTTTAGAAATAACCTTGCAGTGGTATATATAACTGAAAGACTCTTTCGGTAGCAGACATTCCGGCAAGTTATCTTGTTTTACTGTATTCCAAAAATTGTTGGTAGGTATTTAGTTCATCCGCCGCATAAATTGTGTTAGTGATTTTAGTTACTTTTTCGTCTGCATTTTGAAAACAGAACATTTCAGTGTTCCGAAGATTCCCCCAGGGGACAACCAGACAGAGGTTCGAAAAACGGGACATTTTATATACTTTATAATTTATAGGTAGATGCTATTTTAATTATTTTGATACAAAGCACACATTTTTAATTTTTTATTTGAATCGTGTATTTTGATTTTATTGGAAATTGAATTTAATTCAATTAAATATTTTATCTTCTGAACGGAGTGATGAATGTATTGATTTTACAATGATGTGTGTTTTTTTATTTATTTATATATATAATTTTTTTTTGTGCCTGTCATCACGGTTTGGGGCAGTAAACTGCTTTTATTTTCTTCAACAGCAAATTTTCTGTAAGGAAAGTGATTTTAGTTGGTGCAAAAGGGAGGTCAAAATTCAAAATTCTCAATAGTTTTCAAAAACGACTAGAAAAACAAACAAAAAATTAAAGAAAATCGGGAATTTTTACTCAAAACCAGTTTTCCAAAAAATCCATTTTGGTTTTTAGTGAACTACAAAAAAAAATGAAAGGAGATACATGACATTTTCACTAAATGTTTGTTAGCATTTTCAATAAACCATTCAATTTTCAAAAAATGTTGACTTATATTGAACTATTTATAGGCATCATATGAATTTTTCGATTATTTGTTTTTTGAAACTAATATCGATAAAAAATATTTCGATCGGTCAAAAAACTTGTAAATTTAATACGAGGTTCCTCGTAAGTAGTTGTTAGTGAAAATTAAAAAAAAGTTGAGACTAAATGCATAGAATTTTTTTTTTGAGTACCTATTTGGACTTAGAATTTTGACGAAATTCGTAAAAATCACGAAAATTGGCAAATTATACTTTGAGTTAGAAATTTATATAATTTTTTATTTTTATATCTAAGATTTAAAAATTGAATACGAGATTCTTTTTATGTTGGTCAATATTTTTCATTCAAATTTATCGATTTGACTGATTTTTTTTTTTTGTAATTGTCCGGACAGGGTTTATATGAACGAAAATGTTAGTAAAATCCACCGGAATCTCTGGGCAAAATCATATTTTTAATTTTCGCGCCATATCGACATGCTATCAAATGATAGCGTTATCACATTATTTTAAATATTTTTTCCGGAAACAATAATGTCTTCAAGAATAATATAGTCAATATTCCTAGGCCATAGTTGTAACTTTTTGTCGTTAGCCAGTACCGGTACTTGAGATTTGAGTACTCCATACTCAATTTTCACTATTCACTACTCAGTAGGTTAGTAATCACTAATTCATTAATCATTATGCTGTAACCATAACTTGTTTTCATTTTTCTTGAATATATTTTGTTATAGCTTTCTGGCAATTTAGTTTTGTACTATATTGGTAATGATTAACTAAGCAATTTCTCACTAATAAGTAATAATCGTTGGCGTTTACTAATGTAGGTAACGAGAATTTAATACAAATTTAAAATTCAAATTTAGTCGATTGACATGCTTCAATGTCTCAATAAGATCACTGAATAAAATAACTCCTACATTTGGGTAAATACTATTTATTTGAGTACTCCTCTGGTGGTTGCCGTTCTTATGTTTTGTATTGTTAACCGAGTTTATTTCTTAATAGTGATACGTGTGCATGTTCACATTCACACAATGGATACCAAGTATAAAGAACTGCATAGAGAAGCCATATCAAATCAAACAGGCTCATCATTACTTGAAATTTACACATCTCTGTTTCCACTGCCCATTCATATAATCATATTCATTTGGATGTCAATTGGTACAGGCCACAGCAAAAAAATCAACTTTCCGACAGTTTGGATGTTTCTTTTTGAATTTATTACAATGGTGCTGCCAACCGTGTTTAATTTCACGTTGCTTTCAGATTATTCAGTCGAACAGTTCTTAATTTACGTTACAATCTTTGGCGTTGCAGTTTCATGGATGTTGTTAAATCACAATTATATATCATCAAGTACTATTAAAACAAAAAAAAATCCTTACATAACTGTCTATAGATTTATGCTCAATACATATACTGTATTTTGTATATTGGCAGTAGATTTCAATGTGTTTCCACGGCGGTTCGCTAAAACTGAAACCTATGGACACGGTGTAATGGATATTGGTGTAGGATGTTATGTTTGTTCTAATGCATTATTGTTTACTATTCCTAACCCACAGAATATGAGTAAAAATGTACTCAAAGTTTTCAAACAAATCTTACCATTACTCGTGTTGGGAATTGGTCGTACATATTTTGTAACAAAAGCAGATTACCATCACTATGTATTTGAATATGGTGTACATTGGAATTTTTTCATGACTTTGGCTTTCCTAAAAGTAATTAATCTATTTATTTTACCATTTGTCAGTGCTTGTTGTCTATCTGGTATTGCCACAATTCTGGTCATTATTTATGAGTTGGCATTAAATTTTGGTCTAGCAGATTGGATTATGAGTGATGCTCCTAGAGACACACTGTTCTCAGCTAACCGTGAAGGCATTTTATCATTAATAGGCTATGAAGCAATATTTTTATATTCCTTGTCAATGAAATCACGGTTGTCTATTTTTATGAATAAAAATCATTTAATAAACAATATGTTCCTCTTAATAGTAACGGGTTCTTTATCTATTGCTTTATTTTTATTGACATTCATCATAAGTTTTGTTTTTGGTGTTTCTAGAAGATTAGCTAATGCCGGTTATGTTTATTGGGTATTATCTATATCTTCATATCTATTATTCATGTCAATCATGATTGAAAACTTCATAACTGTTATTTTACGTAAGATGGGACAAATGGGCGAATTCAATAGAGTTTCACTCATTATAGATAGTGTAAATGATAATTTATTATTTTTCTTTTTACTCGCCAATGTTGTAACTGGAGTTATAAATATGAGTATGTACACTTTAGTAATGAATACTGCCTCTAGTTTAATTATTCTGTCTCTTTATATGTTTATTATTTACTACACAATTTATATTTTACAGCGTTATAAAAATAAAATTGATGTTTAATTTTTTTATTTTTTATATCATGGCAAATTATGTACAAGTTATCTACATACATTAAAAATAAAAATGTTTAAAAATGAATGGTATGATTTTTTACAGCCATATGGTTGATATGGTAACAGTTCAAAATGAGAATTTATAAAATATTCCCGTGAACAATATATTTTCAAACTTCAAAGAACAAATTAAATGATGCAATGATTAATACAAAATAAGAGATAAGATTAAAAAAAAAATAAAAATTATATACTAATGATAAAAATTATTTACAGCTCTGATATTGTTGTAAATTATAACAATGATTTTTTGCCAAATCGTAAAGAAGGATCGAGGATTTAATACAAGTTTAACAGACATAAATGTAGGTATTTATGATAAACACTTTTACACTGAAATCTGAATAAACATGAACGAAATGTTGGTAAAATGTGTTACATTAATTGTTCGTAACCTATAACAATATTTGTACATTAAAATTATTTCACAGATAAAACAAAGAATTAAATAAATAAAGTATTTTAATTTTGAATGACCATACAATTTACTAACAACTTTACAAAATATATCACTTTTTTTTATTTACAATAATTCATTCTGGACTTGAAGATGGATTGATATTTGGTTGAGATATGTAAACTGGTGTTGGTCCATTAGCTTGTGAGGCCACCTTAAAAAAAAACCATTTTGACATTAAGTTGGTAATTACAAAAATATTAGTATAAGTATCTTACTTGTATGATTTGAGGTTGCGACTGAACTACTTGAACTTGTTGTGATTGAGGAGAATTTTGAATTTGCATACGAAGCATTTGCAGTTGATTGGAGTTTATTTGAATCTAAATAAAAAAAGTGAATAAAGCATCTTTATCTAAATAACAGAAAATATGGAACAGAAGTATGCTAATTGCTGGTAAGGGTTACTAAAAATATATTCATCAAAATTAATGCTGAAAATTGAATAGTTAATAGAAAATATATTTCTATATTTTATAATTAAAAAATCAAGCATTTTTACTACTGCTCCAAAATGTCATGGCGGACAGGAAAAAAACAACATTTAAAAATCACTACATTCTTTAGTTACGCTCAAAAATGATCTATATTCTATAATATTATGCAATATTTCAAATTTAAAATTGCTGTAAGAAAATCTTATGAAGAACTTCTTGTTTTATTTTGAAAATTGTATACATTTTAACTACAAATTAATTTGCAAAATGTAAGTGATTTCAGTCCTATCAACATATTAAAACTGAAACCGAATAAAAAACTTTATGCTTATGTAATTTTAATATTTTAAAAATCATTGTAATTAAGACTTATGAGGACTCATATTAATTATTTAAACTTTTTGACAGAGCATATAATTTTTTATCAGCACATAAAAAAAATTAAAAATTTGAAATGCTTATACATGTTTAAAGGTTGATTTTAATTGATTACAATTAATCTACTTTATGAGTTGGAGTAAATGGCTAAATTCCACAAATTAACCAACAATTATTACCTAAAATAGCATTGATTTTACACTACATATTATTATTATACACTGGATGATATTAAGACATATATATATATATATATATATTGGTTTAAAATAATAACACGACAATCATGATATAAACATCTTAGCTATGTCAGAACATAAAAATTGGAAGGATGTATATTACACTAATTTATTTAGATAGCTATACTAAATTTAACTACTTGACCAATGAAAATTGGTTGAGTTCACGTATCCTCTAATCCTCTATCATAAATTATCCCAATGATGAGCTGTTGAACATTAAGATACTACGAGGTGTATAAGTAGTGAGCTGCATTGTCGTATCATTTTCACAATACTAGGCTCAGTAATCATGCACTAAAGTCGGTGAGCTTATTTTGAACAAAGTTATGTACACAAAATTGCAGAGGAATATTGGGAGGTAGCCAAATTTTTCAACACCCTCCACAAAAATATTGTAATACTTAAGACTGTTTTAAAAATTTTTACATTATACAAATTATTTTTTAACTCATAAGAATTATGTTGTGTATCATGTTCAATATTAATGATTACATAAACATCAACACTTACGGGTATATGTTGTATTTCTCCAGTTGGAGTAATAACCTGTTGTACCAATTGAAGTACGCCATTTGAGTTTGTATTTAGTGCCTGAGTATTGCCCTGTAACTGTATAACTTGTGGCGGCTGACTACCTGTTACTGTGGTTGAAGTACTTGTAATATTTGATGTATTATTTGGAATCTAAGTAAAAAAGTAATAAAAATTAAAAAATATATTAATCCTCAAAAATAAAATAGGTGTATAATACTATTAAAGCTGAGTACTAGGACTTTCAGTATCAAAAATCCTAAAATATGTATTCACATAATTAAAAAACGAAAAATATACACTTAATATGGTACCTAAATTATAATATTTATGCAACAAAAAATAAAAATGATATTTTAATTAATTTATAAAAACTAATTATACTAAAATTAGTTGCACGATCAATAGGGGTGGTGTCTTTTGCCAGGGGGGACAAGGTAGGCATTTGCTTCTGTTTGGTTTCAAAAGCAACCATATAAGCTAGTGTCCGGTTATGTGTCACAGCCAGAGAAAATACTATATTGTGCAGGAACACTGGGAAATTATTGTCACAATGTTAAATTGATTATTGCCAAGGTAATAAATAATAGTTGGGGTAAATATAACCTTCTTGTGTTATGATACATCATATTTATACATCACTCACATTGTTCTGCAACCTTTCTAGACAAACATGAAAAAACTAGAAATCCTCAGCCTCAAATACTAATTTATTAATAGTTATTGGCATAACACTTATACACTGGCAGATATTTAGTGGAATGTATGGGGAGAAGGATTTACATTTATACTAATTATCAAAATTAACCTTCAATTATTTGGTAAATAATGCCTAAATAATGCCCTTAATGTGGGTTAATATGTAAATATAAATAAATTAAATAATAGTGATAATATGCTTATTTTAATGTTATAAATGTATTAATAATATAATGCCAGGTAGCATGAACCATTAATAAACATAAAATATTTTTATTAATAGTAAGTTAATGCACTAAGAGAGAAATATAAAGACATAGAGAGACTAAAGTACTGTGCAAGCTTGAAAATATCTTGGGGGACCTAAGACAGAAAAAAAACTATGAATTGTAATTTTAATTAAAAGTTAAACTTAGTAGTAAAAATAAAAATTAATTACGATCTTATTTATAACTAAGTCATGTATATAATTTATAACACTTGAGATATGTTAAACATATTTTATAAGAGAATATTAAATTAACCTAACCAAAAGATAACTAATTTTAACTACACAACCCTATAATTTAATAAATACTTATATAACACAACATACATTTTCTATATTTACTTGATCTTGAGTACCATTCCCTAAAGATACTACTTGATTGTTCACTGGTTGTAAGATTTGTATTGTCTGTCCAGCACTTGACCCTGATGCATTATTTGCTTGCTGTTGCTGTTGTTGCTGTTGTTGTTGTTGTTGAGCAAGTTGAAAATAGTACTGAACCTAGAATTTAAAAATTAGGTAGAAATAAAATATTTTTTTATTAATTTGGTAGAATGATAAGTTTATTTTCTTCATTAACATTAATTAATGAAAATATACTGTTCAAATAATAACGTAGAAGAACATTAATTATATTTCATAATCAAACAAATTTAAATCACCCAATAATTATCATAAGTCACCATTAATAAGTAGGTAGTTTGATAGTTTGATAAGAAAATGCTAACATGTATAATATTACCACTACAATGAATAAAATAATACTGAACAGAAATTATTATTTGTATTTTTAAAAATAAAAAGAATATTAAAAATATAACAAATAAAGGATAGCCTTTTTTTCCTTGTTATCAAAAACCGAGGAGGAACTGCTGTTGGCATTGCTTCTCCCCAGGTCCCATCAAATAAAGGATAGCCTATACTAATTTGCATATTTTTATTTTACACAATATTGTAATTGGATTAAGTAAATTTATTCTATAAATAAATTTTTGGGCTGGATACAAGAGATAAAATGTTTTTGACCAATTTATAGTAGTCTTCATTGTTGTTATTGACAAAAACTTATTTACGATTTATAGATTTTTCTTGCAAAGGAAAAATAACGAGTCATTATTTTATTCTTTACATAAACTAAACTAGGGTTGAAATAAATTTAAATTTGATAAAAAGTTAATATTATACATTTTTTGTTCTACAATAAATTATTGGTGAAATATCTTACAGAATTATGGATAAATTAAATACAAATACCTAATAAAAATAAATGATAATTACTTGTTCGGGATTCAGTGATGTCTTAACTTCTTTTGTAACAATTTTTGCTTCTTCTCTAGGCACTATGTCGATAAGAAAATCAAATTGATCATACTTGGTGATTGCCATAGCAATATCATTTCTTTGTAAAGTCCGTCGTCGGTTGTCTTCGGTATGAATCCAAGCGCGAAGAGTTAATTCGTTGATAAATATTTCTGCAGCTTTCGAGAACAACATTGGAGCCTCGGCACTTATCATTTTCACATTATCATCTAATTTCATCACTTTTTTTATTCTGGCTAGTGGTAATGCTTGTGTTTTTAAGTCTAACTAAACAAAATTTGAAAAAAAACTGTTCTGTCACAACCAAACATAATTTTATAGAATGTATAAACTTACTGTTCCAATCTTTCTAATTTCTTCGATTGCTTTGGGCCAAAATTGGTTTAGTGCGGCCACATTGCAAGTTTGATTGTTCTCTTCTACGGATATTGTAATCGCGTTTGGATCATCTTCGGTCGGATTGTCTTCCTCTTCTTCTTCTGTGGACCTGCAATTATAACACGTTTATTATTACAGCATACAACATTCTACAGTCGAACATTAACACTTACGGATTCACCAAGAAGACGGACATGGCTATGTTATTCTCACGATTCAGAATCAATCCAAACGAATTAATTTGCCGCTCAAATTAGCGCATCCAACCAAAATTGGCGTATCGTTAGTTTTCAACAGAACAAAAGCAGATGTCCAATAGCTGTTCAACGACACAAATGACGCCCAATCATTTTTTCGCCTTCATGCTCGTATTGATACTAACCGTAAACGCAAGGAATCCCAAAACTTTAATAAACAAACTCTATTTGGGGTGACACAACTTACTGCTACGTACTACTACTGCTACGACATTATACTACTTCGATATTTTATCATTAATACTACGTAGTGCGTATACAACACTATCTCGAATGTCATTTATTGCGAATAACAACTACAACGCTGTTTAATTGAACGGTGAACAACGACTGCTCACTGCTA